AACGTCCGGCTAATGACAATGATGTCGTCGAGGTAGATGAATACGTTTGGCTCGAGGGTCGGCCCGATAACGGAATCTAGAAAGCGTTGAAAGGTTAGCCGGCGCGAAGTGTAGGTCGAACGGCATGACGGTGAACTGATACAGGCCCCGTCCCGAATCGTGAAGGCGGTGATCGGTCGACTTTCGAGAGCCAGCGGGACCTGCCAGTAGCCGTTCTTTAAATCTAAGGTCGTGAGATACTTTGCTCCCCGGAGCAAAGGTGGCGGTCACCTGAGGAAGGGGGTACGCGTCTTTGTCAATGACATCGTTCACCTTCCGAAAATCTATACAAAACCGAAACTTCCCATCTCGCTTCTTTACGACCACGACCGGGGAGCTCCAAGCACTCCGCGACGGTTCGATCACGCCCGCCGCCTCCATTTCTTCGACTTCCTTGTCGATCACCGCCTGCATGGCGGGGTTTATATATATATATTAGGGCGGCAGGTGGCCGTGCACGCTGCGTCACCGAAACTTGCCTGAGGCGAAGAATAGGTGTAACGCAGTTTCGAGTCCACCCAGACCTCGGTACAATTAAGAATAATTGTAAGTCGTCGATGACTGTGCGCGCTGCGTCGCCGAAGCTCGGTTAAAAATGACTAGTATGAACGCAGGCTCGAACCCCAATGACGTTGTAGGTATTATGTACTATAGATTATGTACTATAGGTTATGTACTATAGGTTAAGTCAGCCGTGGAGAGAAACCGGGCCCGGGAGAAAAAATTACGGGCCCCATTTTGTGTAGGTATTATCGAAATAAAAAAGAATGCAGGGAAAGAAAGATCAACGGATCGAATCAGTAAATCGAATACGTTATAACATCTTTAACTAAATGCTTGCAAATTTCTTTCGTTTTTTTTTATTTTATAGATTTGCCAGATATTTGCAAGAACACATTTTTTTGCAAGAAAATAATATAACATATTATGAAATAAAGCTTAGGTTAAATGTTAAATGTTTAGTATAAATGCGCTTTCCGTGCTTTGGCTAAGGCAAAAGCGTTAATTAATATTTTAAAATCTAACTGCCTCGCCAATTCTGATTCTAGGCAAAGAGTGCCTACCTGTTACACGCGTTTGTGTAGAACAGGAGCGATGAAAGTTTTTAATCCTGGACAGTATGCTAAAAGAACGCTCACCACTAGCAACAGATACTGGCAGAGTACAAAATATTCGTAAAGCTACACAAATATTTGAAAACAGTGTATCTAGCTTATTAGAAGTAATAGCTTTTAACAAATCAAATGGAGAGAGATCGGCTTCAAAGTTTGTTTTGTAGATGTGTTTTAGATGGATTATTTCATCTATTAATTCTTTAGACACATCAACAGCGTATTTCTTAACAAATTAGTGGCGTCGACCCGAATGTCCTCTTCATCTAATGTTGTAAATTTCCACAAAAAGAAAAATGTTATTCAAATCATTCATAGCTGTAAATCGATTAGAAATTCCTGCAATAACTGAATCTACAATTACAAAGAAAGTATTTCTTTTAAATCGGTTTCTTCGTCAGTAGTGGTACTGATGGAATCTTCATCCTCACTTTTGGAAAATGTCTTAGCTCGTTTATTTTTTCTTTTATTTGCAGACAATATTGACGAAGTACCTTTTAACCCACTTGCGACTAGTTCACATTCGCGTAAAATGGCATTCCATTGATTTCGTATTTGCTGCATATCCGAAAGTAAACTTTCAAGATTTTTAACTTCGACGTCAATTGTACCATTTCTAGCCTGTAGAACGATGCTTCTTTCATTGATGGCATTTAGAATTTTTGACCAGATAGATGCCATCAAGATACATTCAAATTTACAAATACATATTTTTGAATTCCACTAACATCTCTACGAGTTTCCGCGGTCAAATTGAGTGTCTTCAAGTCTTCTAACGCACTTTGAAGTCCAGGAAGATGATTTGCAAAAGGTTTTACAGCGTCAATTCTGGCGGACCATCGCGTCTCAGATAAGCTGTGAAGTGAAGATCCAATTTTATTTTTTAAAATTTCCCAACGCTGCGGACTGCTGCTGAAAATGGTGTAGCATTTTGAACGACGCCGAAAAACGTGATGGCTTTGGAACAACACTCAGCAGAATCTACTCCACATAGATTCAAACTGTGGCCGGAACAGGGTGAATAAGCAAGTGAATTATCTTGAAGAATGTAGCTTTGTGCTCCTTTATATTTACCTTTCATATTACTACCATTATCGTAACCTTGTCCGCGGCATTCAGTCAAAGGAATGTTATGTTTTTTTAAAGTGTCACGTATCAAATCAGCAATAGCCGCACCAGTTTTCTTATTACAATCAACAAACTCTAAAAAACGTTCTTCAATCGTATACTTTTTTTCTTCTGGATTTAAATGAACATAGCGTAAATAAAAGTAGTTTGTTCAACGTAAGCGGAATCGGGTGTGGCGTCGACAATTAAGGAATAATATTTTGCCTTTTCTCGTTTTTTAATATGGCCGATACTATATGACGAGCACAGAGATCTATAAATTCGTTTTGTATGTCTGGCGAAAGATAATGGCATTGCAGACGCTGGTGCTGTTGTTGAGACGTCTTCACTTTTTCCAAATGCTCGTGTAATACCGGATCGTAGTGGCTAATCAATTCTAAATTCCCAAAAAATTTCCGTTGTTTCGCTTTCCAATAAGGTGGCTTTTCCCTCTCAGTGCTAAACCTCTTTCTCCAGAAACAAAATTGTATCTAAAATACGTGTTTAAAATTTCTTGCCATTTTTAACTTCACCCTTGATTTGTTTACACAACAGCTTGTCAATTGAAGATTCATTTCGGATACTCATTTCCAGTCCACGCCACTTCACATAACACTGAATGTGATCTTTATTATTCTCATGTGGCTGCAGTCTTTCGTATAACTTTTTCCACGCCAGATTTTTGAATATCCGCCCGGAGAACAAAGATAAGAACGATTCACTGTGTTTGTACTAAATAACCGACACGGAAGACAAAATAAAGCACTCTTACTGCGGCTCCAAACCAACCAATCGCATTCCACCTTTTCACCATTAGGCAAGTTTTTGAACAGCAGCGATACGGGAAACCGTTCGTTTAACCGATCACGAGGAAAAGCAGAAGGCATTTTTTCATGGCCTCTGCGAATCACTTCATCAACTAGTTGTAAAAGTAAAAAATCAGTTTCTATAGTACCAATGTCATAGTCGTGAAGATGTCTAGTCAAGTGCATTTGAAATGTTGGTTGCTCTTCTGATTCGCGTTCTGTGGATGTGGACTTTTGAATCGTTGCAACAAAATTTACATCAGTTTCTACAGACAGATTTTCTTGCACTAGTTGCACTAGATCAGACAAAACAAAAGTAACATTGTTTCAGCTTGGTTACAATCTGGTTCAGTTGTCGTGGACGAAGAAGTACGCGGAAACGACTGACTATCTCGCCTTTCAGTTGAATCATGACTTTGATTTGCGCTGACATCTAAATTTTCCTTAAGGCGAAAATTAAAATCAGGAAGAGTTGCCTGTCCTCTTTCTGCAATTAAATTTCTCTGTTCGCGATCTATGCGTTCTTTTTCGCTTTAGCGAACCAGATTTGTGATGATAGAAATAGGACATTTCTACATTTTATTCACCTAAAAATCAACAATAATAATTTTAACAATAGTAGCATTGCAAAAAAAGAACGAGAATTAAAAGATCCAAAACAAAAATATGAATAAAGGCAAATTTACTTACCTGCATGTCAAGATTCGAGAGAACAAGCACAGAGCACAGACAGGACAGATGCTATGAAGAGACGAACGCAGTGGCAATAAAACACGACGCGACGCGTATAAACAAAAGCGCATCTAAATCTTCGACGTGGCGATAAAACACGACGCGACGCGTAGAAATAAAAGCGCATCTAATTCATCTAAACACGATTTTTCGACGCTTGCTTATAAATACGGAAACTACAGAACTGCCCAGATAGCAAATATTCTTTAAAAAACCAACTTTTGCAGGTATTTCATTCCGCTGCTGTGCCTATAACTTATATCTACTTCTATTAATTCTTGCAATTCATTCTTTGGTTTGTTTAAATTATATAAATAATTTTTAGATCTTGTATAACGTAGTACTTTGATTTTATAAACATTTTCGAAAAATTATTTTTTTATATACATCTAGTTACATAAATTTATTTATTCTTAATCTATATTAATTTAGATAAAATTTTTACAAAAAAACAAGAAACTATGTTTTGAAAACAATGAGCATTTAGAAAATTCGGATTCTCAAAAATTTCGGGCCCTTTAAAAAAATCCGGGCCCGGGGGAAATCACCCCGTCACCACCCCCCTCTCGTCAGCCCTGGTTAAGTTTAAAAATGTAAGGTATAATGTACAAGAATAAGGAAATAAAGGAAGGATTAAAGTCTCCTTGGCAAGAAGCTGAGGACTCTAAACAAAGTGATTTATATGTACAAGTATACTCGTAATTTTAATATATATGTATATATATATATAATATATATGATATATATGATATATGATAATATATATATGATATATACATATATGACTTCCGTTTCCGGTGCAGAATTAGAGTACACGTGGTGTGTGATAGTGAAGAGTTGAGGGCGATTAAAGGGGTTAGAGCACAGAGATAGTGGAGAGGATAGTTTGAAAAGGAAGAGGGAGAAGAGTGAGAGGGTGAGAGAGTAGTGTGAGAGAGGATAGTTAGACAGAGAAAGTAGGAAAGAGAGAAATAGGAGGCTGGTGACAGCTGAGAGTGGGCAGGGAGTATAGGGTATAAAGAAAGAAAGCGGGGTGCAGAAAAATAGAGTAAAGGTGCTAGGGAATAGCTAGGGAATTTAGGAAAGAAGAAGCAAGGATTAGGAAGAACGTAGAGTGGCGAGAAGTAGGAAAAGAGAGGGACAGGGGAAAGGAAGAGTATAGAGAGGAAAGCGGAGAGGATTTGGATTAAAAGGGTCTGAAAGCATGTGGAGCGGGAAGAAAGAGGGAGGCAAGGGAGCGGAGGGAGGAGGAATAATAGGATCGGTAGGTAAAAAGGGAAAAGAAAGAAGTGGAAGTCTAGGGAATATAGAAGATCTACTGAAGAGGAAAAAAAGGGAGTTAGAGGAAAAAACGGGAGAAGGGAGCGGTGAGATCTTTAAGAGAAGCAACAAGACAACGAGATCACCGGAAAAAGGTGGTGAAGAGGATGGAGAGAAGGAAGAGATCAAAAGATTGTTGCAAGATATGTGGCAAGAAATGAGGGAGATCAGGGAGGAAATAAAGGAACAGGGAGAGAGGATAAGAGGAGAGATGGAGGAGATAAGGAGAGATTACAAGATACAGATGGAAAGGTGGAAAAGAGAGAAGAAAGAAATGATAGAGAACATGGAAGGTATGAAGAGGAGGATAGAGGGACTGGAGAGGAAGATGGAGGAAAAGGAGGAGGGAGAGAGAGAAAGAAGAGAGCACACAGGGAATGGTTTACAGAAGAGAGTAGGGGAAATGGAAAGGAAATGGGAGATATTAGAAAAAGAGGAAAAAAAAGAAAGAATATAGTAATAAAAGGCTTATTAGTCAAAGAGGGGAAAAGAAGAGAGGGAGCCGAAAAATTGTTAGAGGAGATAGAGGCAAGAGCGAGGATAATGAAAATAAGGAAAATAGGGGAGGATAGAGAAATGGGGAGAGAAATGGTGGTGGTGGAATTGGAGAAGGAAGAACAGAAATGGGAAGTGATGGAGAAGAAAAAGAGGCTGAAAGGCAGAAAAGAAAGGATAGACACGGATTTAACATGGAAAGAAAGGGAGATAAGACGAAAGTTGGGAAGATAGCAAGGAGAGAAGAGAAAAGAGGAGAAAGGACATGGGTAAGTAATGGCAAGTTAAAAATAGGAGAAAAATGGTGGAGATGGGATGAGGAGAAGGAAGTGCTGAGAGATGAGAAGGGAAATGTAAAGAATATGATAATGGGGGAAGAGGAGAGGAGAAAGGAAGATGGGCTAAAGTAGAGATAGAGAGAGAGAGAGGAAAAGGAGAAGAGAGGAAAAGGATGGAAGGTAGTTTTCTGGAACGTAGCGGGAGTAGGGAATAAGGACATAGATTTTTGGAAAGGATTAGAGGAATGGGATGTAATAGTGTTATCAGAAACATGGATGGAAGAGGAAGGATGGAAGAAGATGAGAAGGTACCTACCGAAAGGATACGTATGGGGAGTGCAAGGAGCAAGTAGAAAGAAGAAGAGAGGAAGAGCGAAAGGAGGCATGATTATGGGGATAAAAAAGGAGATTGCAGAGAAGGGAGGAATGATGGAGCTGAGTAAGGAGGGCTTTGTGGTAGGAAGAAGTAAAGATAGGGAAGGAAAATGGAGGGTGATAGGAGTAGTACGTAGGAGAAGAGGAGGAGGAGTTTACACGATAATAGGAGGAGATTTTAATGCGAGGACAGGACAAGAGGGGGGTAGAATCAGAGATAAGGAGAATGCGGAAGAGGAGAGGAAAGAGGAAAAGAAAAGAAAGTCGAAAGACAAATTAATCAATGCAGAGGGAAGAAAACTACTGGAATTCATGGGAGAAAGAGGTTGGAGCATAATGAACGGTAACACAAAGGGAGATGAGGAGGGAGAATGGACTTTTACAGGAGGAAGAGGGAACACGGTTATAGATTACGTAATTGGGAATGAGGATAGCGGAGAGAAGGTGAGAAGGTTAAGAATAAGAGACAAGGTGGACTCAGATCATCACCCAATAGAAGTGGAGATAGAAGGATGGCAGAGAAGAGAGAGAAGAAAGTCGAGAGGAGGGAGGAGAGGAGTATGGAATGAGGAGGGCCGGAGGATTTTTGAGGGAAAAGTGGAGGAGATAGGAGAAATAGGAGGAGGAGAGGAAGAGATAGATGGAGAATGGGAAAGAATAGAGGAGAGGATGAAGGAAGTATTAAGAGCAACAGAGGAGGACTGGAGGAAAGGAAAGAAGGAGAAAAGAGGATGGTGGGATGGGGAGTGCAGAGAGGAGAAAAGAAAGGTAAGGAGGGAGCTGAGGAGATGGTGGAGGGAAGGAGGTGAGGGGGAGGAATATAGGAAGAGAAGAGGGGATTACAAGAGATTGTGTGAGAGGAAGAAAAAGGAAGAAAAACGAGAAATGGGAAAAGAAGGCAGCAGAGGTGAAAAGAGAATCGGAGGTATGGGAGATAATAAACAGAGAGAGAGAAGAAGATGGAAAGGAATAAACGAAGAAATTGAGATGAGAAAGTGGAGAGAATATTTTATGAAGTTGTTAGGAGGAACAGAGGAGAGAAAGGTAAGAAAGGAAAGAAGAGAGGAGGGGAACAGGACAGAGGAGGAGGAGGAGGGGGAGGAGGAGGAGGAGGAAATAAGTAGAGAGGAAATGAGAGAGGCAATAAAGAAGCTGAAAGCAGGAAAAGCGACAGGGATAGATGAGATTCCGAATGAGGTATGGAAGTATGGAGGAGGGAACGTGGAGGATTGGATGCTGGATTTTTGTAATAGAATATGGAGAGGAGAAGGATGGCCGAAGAGATGGATAGAGGGAGTGATTACACCGATAAAGAAAAAAGGGGATGGAAAGGAGGTGGAAGACTACAGGGGAGTAACCATGATGCCATCAATGTATAAGGTTTACACGATGATACTGACAGAAAGATTGAGGAAGGATGTGGAGGAAAAAGGGATAGTGCCAGAAAATCAGATGGGGTTTAGGAGAGGAATGGGAACAATAGACAACATATACGTGATGAATTATCTAATCAATAGACAACTGGAAAAAAAAGAGGGAAGGCTAACGGCATTGTTTATAGATCTGAGAGCAGCATTTGACTCGGTAGACAGGGAGAAATTAATGGAGGCAATGGAGGAGAGAGGAGTAAGGAAAGGATTGAGAAGAAGGGTAGAGATGGTGATGAGAGAGACAACATGCAGGATAAAGATAGGGGAAGAAGTTGGAGAGAGTTTTTGGATTGAGAAAGGAGTAAGACAGGGGTGCCCATTGAGTCCAATACTATTCAACATCCTAATAGCGGACTTAGAGGAAAAAATGGGGAAGGTGAAAAGAGGAGGAGTAAGAATAGGAGAAAAAAGGATTTATACATTGGCATACGCGGATGATATGGTGTTGTTGGTAGAGGAGGAAGAGGAACTGAGAAGTATGGTAGAAAGGTTAGAAGAATATCTAGACAACAAGAGATTGGAGCTGAACGCAAAGAAGACGAAGATAATGAGGTTTAGGAGAAAGGGAGGAAGATGGAAGAAGAGGGAGTGGAGATGGAAAGGAGAGAAAATGGAGGAAGTGAAGGAGTTTACGTATCTGGGATATAGACTACAGAGGAATGGAGGACAAGAAGGACAAGTGAAAGATAGGATGAGGAGAGCGGCGGCTATTATGGGGCAAGTATGGGGAATAGGAAAGAGAAAGTTTGGAAAAGATTGGGGGAGAAGATTATGGCTTTTCGACAAATTGGTGTGGACAGTGATGAGCTACGGGGTGGAAATATGGGGGTGGAAGGAGAGAGAGGGAATGGAAAGGATGGAAGAAAGATACCTGAGATGGATATTAGGAGTAGAGAGGGGAACGCCAGGTTATATGGTGAGGGAGGAACTGAGAAGAGAGAAGCTGAGGATAAGAGCCGGAAAAAGGGCATGGAATTTCGAGAAGAGAATGGAGGAAGGAAGAAGAGAGGGAGGATAGCGAGGAAAGAGGAGGAAAGAGGGAAAGGAGAAGAAAGGAAGGGAAAATAGGAAGAGTGGGATCGGAGTGGGAAAGGGAAAGGGAAGAATATTTATGAGGATAGAGGGTAGGAGGATAGAGGAGGTGGAGGAGAGAAGAGGTATGGAGGAGGGATGGTTTGGGGAGTTAATAAGGAGGGATCTGGAGGAGCAGAGGAGGGAGAGGGAGGAGAGAATAAAGGGATCGGAATTTAACAGATGGTACAAGGAGGTTAGAGGAGAAGGAGTGCCAGAATACTTAAGAAAGGATTGGGGAGAGAGTAGATGGAGGAGGATAGCAAGATTCAGATTAGGAAGTGAGATTTTAGAAAGCAGGTATTGGGAGGAAGCAGAAAAGAGGAAATGTAGGATATGTGGAGAGGAGGTAGAATCGTGGGAGCATGTATGGGAGAGGTGTGAAGTGAGGGGGGAGAGGAAAGAGAGTTGGCAGGAAGTAGTGAGGGAGATACTAGGAGAAAAGGGAGAAGGGGAAGGATGGATGAGAGAGATAGAGAGAGAAAGGGAGATAAGAAAGGGGAGAGGAGAGAGAAGTGTGGAGAGAATAGGAGGGAAAGAGGATGATGGAGGAGAGAATGACGTGAGGGGGGCAAAGGGGAAGAATGTTTAAGAAAAGAAAGCAAGAGGAAACGGAAGTCCAAGAAGCGTGTGTGTGTGTACATGGGGTTGGGCAGAAGCCAAGGGGAGATGGCCTGGACAACGGGCGACCCAAAGCGGAAGTCCAACCCCTTAGGACAGATAGGTTAAGTTAGCAATAAGATAGGTTAAGAGGTTAATAGCGAAGAGGTCATGGTAGCGTGCGTTTTATATTTTTTGTTTTTGTTTGAATTAGCACCTTTGTATATGCGGCTGCTGTATTGTTAAATTGTAAGGGAATTGAAACCCCAAGGGGACCAATAAAATTTACTACTACTACTACTATATATACATATATATATAAAATTATAACAGTCATCGGACACTGTATAACGTGTCAAAGCCAACGATACAATAATCGAAATAAACATCTACAAGTTAACAAGTCTAAGTCGTCTAAATTTGCGAGTCATAGTTAAATCCACCGAAGTAATGCCTATTTATGCCACATTATTACATAAAGATAACAAAGTAAAAAAGTTGTATTTGTTTTTTAAGAGGGCATAGGTTAATATGACGTCGATTATATAAAATTATTAAAATACAAAACATTAAAATAAAATTAAGAAACAAATATTTGAAATGTTACAGAAATTAAAAAAAAGTGATAAATATAAGGCCAACTTATCGAGCTGAATATTCGAGATGTTCAGTCAACTACCATTTATTACATGTATAAATTATAAAACTACAGTCATTATATTAAAACTAACGCAAATTACAATCATTCTATAAACGTTTCGACCGCACGCGGTCTTCTTCAGTATAATTATTGAAATATAAATTCTTACAATTCACATAATATCGAAATTTAATTATAGTTATTCAGAATCAAGAGTTTTTGAGTAATTAACGCGTGTTTCAATCCGTCCTGTCCAACAATGTTCGCCTCGATATGATCCCTGATTTTGTTCAGATCTCGGATAGTTTCATCGTTAATATGCGAGAAATTAACCCGTTCCGTAGGCGCTGCGATTTATAAAAAATTACCGATCAACGCATGTCCAAATTATAATATGTATCCCCTACAATTGGTAGTATGCTTACCTATCATCGTTCTTCTTGATAATTTTGCTACTTATTAACAGTTATTAAGGATGACACATAACAAACCAACAATACAGAAAGACAGCTCATTTTAAACTCTACTTGATCGGAGAGCGTGCGTGTTTATATATGATCTAATATCTATGTTTTACTCGTTAATGTCCTATTTGTCCTATTATTATTTCTTGTTCGCTAATATATCCAAAATATCAAAATACGACTCGCTAAGTAACTCAGTATCTTTGTTTAAATTTAGTCCATTTTTTTGTTCCTTGATATGTAGCATCTCAGAAATGAGTCTTTTATAATAATTATTTTCGTTGTCCATGATCTTAACATTGTCCCAATTAAAAGTATGATGTTCATTTATTATGTGTTCAGAAATTACTGAATGTTTCGTTGAGTCCAACCTAATATTATTTTTATGTTCTTTTATTCGCGTCTGCAATTGCCTCTTTGTTTGGCCTACATAAGATGCATTACAATTATTGCAACTGATCTTATAAACCACATTCGAATTGCATGGATGTTTAGTTTTATCTTTCTGCGCTTTAATAATATTATCCAGTTTGTTGAGACATCTATACCCTACCATACAATTTTTATTTTTTACCGAGGAAACAATCATTTCTGAGATCCCATCTATATACGGAATGACAAAGAATTTTTTATTGACCGAGTCATTTCTTATACTTTTTGTTCTTTCTATGTTGGCCTGTCTCTCTATAATGCTCCCCTTAGATATGATGTGTTCTATCCGATGATTAATTTTGTTAAAAATCAGATCAAGAGGGTAACCATTGCTTCTGAGTATATTAATAATTAACTCCAAATTTTATTAAAAAATAGTGGATGTGATAGTAATAGACATCTGTCTACAAGGTTATATATTATTCCTATTTTGTGGCATAGTGGGTGGTTTGAATAAAATGATAACGTCCTTCCTGAGAAGGTTTCTTTTTGATACCAGTCTATATATATTTTGTTATTAATAATTTTAAGTGATAAATCTAAGAAATTCAAGCTGTGGTTAACCTCTTGTTCGACCGTGAATTTAAGTCTTTCATGATAGTTGTTAAAATTATTCACAATCTGAGTCATATTAGTCATAGAGGTGGCCACTATTATGTCATCCACATAACGAAAATAAAACAAACATTCCAAATTCAACGCTTTGAGAACTGTATCCTCAAGATCTTGCATAACCAGGTCTGCAATAATTGGTGATAACGGTGACCCCATAGGGGTCCCAAACGTCTGTTTATAAATTATGTCATCAAATGTAAAATATGTAGAAGTCAATATGAATTTTATACCCCCCAAAAATTCGTTTTTCGGTATTTTAGTATTTATTCCAATGTGATCCCATCTATCGTTAATACCGTCAATCGCAAGATCCAGAGGAACGTTCGTAAACAAAGACACCACATCCAAGGAAAACATCCTATCATTCTCATCAATCTTTTTACCAGACAATATGCTGTACAAATCAAAACTATTATTAATATGACTTTTCGCTTTGGGTAGACTAGTTCGTAAGGTGTTTTGTAAAAACGAAGCCAGCGAGTATAGAGCTGTATCAACCGATGAAACTATGATTCT